GCAAATAACCAGCCCTGGAGGAAGGATGAGCATCCACAGGGCCTGATCCTGATCCCTCCCAATCCCCAGGGTGAAATTCCAAGCCCAAACTCGGAAATCCCACATGTGCTGCTGAAACTAAAGGGTTGGGATCCCGTCAGCAGCCCTGATTCCCTTCTTAAAGCTCCCCCAAAAAGCCTCAACCCCACTGGCCCTTACAAAATTGTGGTTAGGAAGGGAAAATCCCACTTGGATTTGATATTATTCCCTTGGGTAAATTCCTGATTCAATAAAGGAAATTCCACTTGCAACTCCTCTGATAATTTTATTAAAGGTGGAGCAGGTGGAGTTTTATTATTATTGATGGAGGGTGGGAAGAGTTTCACTCTTGGCCCAGGCAGAAAAAGGGGGGGGGCAGGGGAAACCTGGGAAAATGTTCTTTATGTCCTCTATTCCCATTTCCCAGCTCTAATTCTCCCTTTTCCCAGCATCTTATCCCCTTTTTTTTTCACCCTCCCAGCCCTTTCTGCAGGACTTCGGTCACTGGGAATGGGAAAAGCTCCAGCTCTGGGGTTGATCCAAGGACAGACTCTGAGGAGAACCAGGACAAGACAGGAATTCTTTCTCCTCCTTCCAGGCTGTGTAAAATCCCCCCAAATGCCACATTCTCTGCATTTTCCTAATTCAGGGATGTCTTTTTGAACACATGTTCATTCCCTGCTCCTGTTTCCACCTGGGCACGTTTAAGGAGGGGATTTTTTTCCTGATGTTTTTCAACCCCAAAGCATCTTCCCCCCTCACCTGGCTGATTCCTTCCACTCCATCTCCTCCCCATCGTGCTGCAGGGTGTCCATCTCCGTGAAAAGGGTGGGATTGGGAGGCTCATCATCTTCTCCCAGGATGTAGCGGAGACGTTCGGCAGCCGGAGACACTGAGGGGGGAAAAGAGGTTTAACACCCATGGGAGATGAGATGATGCTGAACCAGGGATTTAGCCCTTAAAATTCCTCAGAAAGTGGGAAGATAAGAGGGAAAAAAAGCTGAAAAAAAAAAATCTTGTTATGTCAAAGCTTCCCTTTCTCTTTTGTGGTTTCCACTGTTTCCAGGGTGGCACAGCCCTGAAACCCCAAAAATGAGTCACTGGGAGAACCCTCTGGAAGGGGGCAGAAGGAAGGATCTGCTCTTAAGCACCCAAGGAGGGAATTTGGGAAGAGTTGGCATTAGCTACACCCAAACTGAGGGTGTGCAGAGCTCCAACCCCTCCTGCAGGATTGCAAATCCCCCCTTTTTCACCAGTTCATCCAGAGATCCCCCCCAAGGCAGAGATTTCCAGCAAACTCCCAGTTTCTGTGGTCCAGCTGATCATATTTGGGGTGAATTTGGGGGTTTAGAGGAAGTTTAGGGTTGTTTGTGATCCTGGCGTAAAAAGTACAGAGGTTTGGAGGGAAATATTTAAGGTGAGGGACATTAAGGAGTGGGAAACTCTAAATAATCCTGTCCCAAAATCCCTGTGCAAAGATGTGGGATGATGGGGGAAAGGATGCATGGAAGCCAGCAGGGGAATTCTGGGATGATGGCAGGAAGGATGAGTGGAAGGAATATAGATCCAGGCTGGGAATTGAGGAATGTGGCCATCCCTATATAAAATACCACAGAATTCCCTTCCAGGACCATGATGATCCTTGTTTCCAAGGGGTATCCCACATTTTTCCTTGCCATGGAGCCTGTTTTTGCCAGGTTTTTGCCTGCCCTCAGCAACCAAATCCTTACAGTCTCTGGATGGGGATGCACAAGAGCTTAACACACATTTTCCCACTGGATTCCCGTAGAGAATGTGAATCCTTGAAGGGGAATAACCCAAATTTCTGCTGGAAAAATCCAACTTCCCGCAGCCAGGCTGGGGAGGGCACTTATTTCCTCCTGCTTCCCATGGGAACACATCACCCACCAACCTCCTGACTGGTGGGAAAAGGGTTTTCCATCCCCAGTGAATTCCTGGAGCCCACGGGAGGGTGATGGAACCTCCTCTAAAAAAAAACCAGCCTGGCTGCATTTGCTTTTCACCCTCTCCATCCATTTCCTAGGAAAAAACTCAACATTTTGGTCATGGGGAGGAATCAGACACCTGGGTATGAACCTGGATTTGCCCCAGGTGCTCCCCATGGATGGGAATGGTCCCCAGTTGCTCCAAAGAGATTAAAATCAACTTAAAATCCATGGAAATTGGTGTATTTTAGTACAATCTCGAGTATTCTAAACCAACAGGAATTAACCCAGCTTGGAAAAAGGTCTTTTTTTTTTTTTTAAGCAGAATCCTCCCGTTTTCAAACTTGAGAATAAGAAAGTTGGATAATAAAGTGCCCCAAAAAAGCAGGTAATTAAATTTCAATGTGTGAGCAGAGGAAAAAATAGGAATATTGCCCTTTTCCCCCCCAAAGGAGATGACCCCAAGTCGTGTGGGCCCTGGAAGAAGAGGATGTCCATTTAGGCTGAGCCTGCTTAACCACTTAAGCCCTCTAAGCCCCACCACCCAGACTAAAGCCCTGTTGTCAAGTCCTCCCTCATTTCCATAAGCTTCATTATTATGATTATTAAATATTCCTGTTAATTTTAGAGCTGGGCTCCCTGCCTGGAGGGTTTCAGGCTCTTTAAGCCTAAGTGCTGTTCTGGGAAGGAGGATGAAATGGGTACAATGCTGGTAACACCCCCCTCAGCCTTTGCTCTACAGCCCAAACCCGACACTTCCTCCAAACCCCCAAATTCACCCCAAAAGTGATGAGCTGGACCACAGAAATTGGGAGTTTGCCAGAAATCTCTGCCTTGGGGGGGATCTCTGGATGAACTGGTGAAAAAGGGGGATTTGCAATCCTGCAGGAGGGGTTGGAGCTCTGCACACCCTCAGTTTGGGTGTAGTTAATGCCAACTCTTCCCAAATTCCCTCCTTGGGTGCTTAAGAGCAGATCCTTCCTTCTGCCCCCTTCCAGAGGGTTCTCCCAGTGACTCATTTTTGGGGTTTCAGGGCTGTGCCACCCTGGAAACAGTGGAAACCACAAAAGAGAAAGGCAAGCTTTGACATAATGGCCTTTTTTATTTTAGCTTTTTTCTCCTTCTCCTCCCACATTTTAAGGGATAAATCCATCTTTCCACACCTTCCCAGCAGGGTCGGCCTCTGCTCAGCGACCTGAGCCAAGAGCCCCTTGTTAAACCAACACCACCAGGGCTTGGCAGCCAAAATTCAGGGAATTTGTTCACCTGGAGGAGCCTGGGAAAGCACCCAGAAATCCCTGCTTGGTTTTTTTCACCTGGAAGTTTGATCCAAGACCTGGAAATCCCGGGAAGCAGCAGGTGCTTCCTTGGGAGGATATGTTGGATAGTGGCATCTATTTGGTCACACAGTCAAAATTCGTGGGATTCATTCATCTGGAGGACTCTGGGAAAGCATCCAGATCTCCCTGCTTGGCTTTTTTCGCCTGGAAATTCGATCCAGCACCTAAAAATTCTGGGAAGAAGTAGGTGTTTGCTTGGGAGGATATATTGGACAGTGGCATTTAAGGTTTGGCCCCTTTGGGAGCTCAAGAGTAAAATTGCTGCAGTGGCCAAAACTTCCCCAAACCCCCCAAAATCAGCAGCTGTTTGTTGAAGACACAGTTCAAGGGGCGCCCAGAGAAGATCCAGATCTCCCTGAACTAATTTTTAGGATGGGAAAACACTTCCAGCTGCAATTCCTGCAATTCCCCACCGTGATTTTAGCCACAGTGGATCCAAATGGAGCCCAAAGCCACAGAATCAGGTCAGCATCAACACTGGGAATATTTAGGTTATATAGGATATATATGGGATATTTGGGATAATTCTGCATGTGCAAGACCTCACGTTTCCTTGGGAAATGGGACAGGACAGACCAGCTGGAATGATTTAAACCTCCTTTAGTCCTGGGTCCACAGAGCCCTTCACACCCCAGCTTGGATCCAGCAGTAAAACCTGACCTGGAGATGCTTTTCCAAACCGAAATTCCCGCTCTGGTTTAAGGTAGAATAAAAAAAAAAAAGGGGGATAAAATTGGGGATGGGGGAATGTGGTGCTGCTTGGGGTTTGCAGGACTAAGCCTGATTTAAGGCTCCAGCACATTAACCATCGGCTCTCGTGGTCCCTCTGGATCCATAACAGCCTTTCCCTGGCTTTTCATGGATCAGAAGGGTCACCACCTCCCAAAAAAAGAGGAGACTGGGGTGCACATCCCATGGGATTAGATGCTCTTTTCTTTTTCAAGAAACCTGTAAATCTGGGAGACCTTTTATCCCTCCAAATATCACCTTTTCCACTTCCCCTCTGCCGGGGAGCAACAGGAGCTGAGAATTCCCCCAGTTAATTTTAGGGATGAGCTTTGGAGCTCTGTGCCCTGAGTTCACCTGCAAGCTCCCAGGCTGCTTTTACAAGGGAAAAAGTTGATTTTACAAGGGAAAAACAAAGCTAAAAAAACACCCTGGAGCTTTTTACCCCCCTCCTGCTCCCCCGACGGCGCCTGCCACGAAACGCTGGGAAAAATCCTACCTGGAGTTGGTTCCATTTTTTCCCCCATTTCTTCCCGGCCAAACCAAACCTTCGCTGCTCGGTACCAAAAACCACCAAACCCCCGAACTTCCTCCTTTATCCACTCAGGCTTGTTAAACTCCCAAGGCTTAAGGAGCAGATTACAGAGAATATAAAGCACTTTCCTTTCCCTTTGGCTCCCATGACGGGAAGTTACCAAATCAAACGGGATGCGAGTGGGAGAGGTGAGATCTCTGGGAGGCAGTGGGATGGAGAGAGGGAGAAAGGGGAGGGCGAAACGCTGGGAGGGCAGAAATCACAGCTTTGGGGTTATTTCCTGCAGGGTTTTTCTTTCCCACCTGGAAGGAGGTGGGAAAATCCCCTCCGAGCTCAGAGCAGAAAATTTTTTTCAGGGAAAAATAGCCTAAAAAAGGAGGATTTCTGAGTTTTTTCGTGTGGTTTTCCTCCATAAAATGACTTTTCTCCCCCCAAGCCAGCCCAGGGTTTTATCCCAGTGGCATTTACTGCCTGTGGAAAGGAGGAAGCTCCCGCTTCCACCAAAGCCATGAAGGAGCTGTGAGCGGAGCCCGCTGCAAATAAAAACCTCTTCCCACGCCACAGAAAAACCCAGGAAAACTTTTCCTTCCGTAGAGAAAAGTGGAGCCCGCTCAGCTGAGCTGGACCTAAACCCCAACGCATGTTTCTATAGGAGGGGGGTGGCAAAAACCCACCCCGAGGGCTCGGCAGCTGCTTTGCTGTGCGAAATGTTAATCTGGGCTTTAATCCTAAAGGAGATTTAACGAGACCAGGCAAAGCCGCGGGCAAAAGCCCGTCGGGAACAAGGTGTGATGCCCGAGGTTTGTCTGCGCTCCCTGGACGCCGATTTCCTCTTGGGCAACTTCCCAAGGGACAGGACAACTCCACCCCAATTCCCACCCTGTGACACGCAGGGAAAAATAAACCCGGGAAGGGCCGCGCGTCGGGGGTGATTTAATTTAATCCCGAGTTCAGTGATGCTCCGAAGGCTCTCCCGGTTTTTTTTTGGGAGCCGCAGGGCACTCACTGGTCCTGCTGGCGTTGTCATTGCCGCTCTCGTAGCAGCCGTGGCCGCCGTCGTCGGTGTCCGAGTGGTCCTGGCGCTCGAAGTGCCGCTCGCTCTCGCTCCGGTCCCGGCTGGAACCGGGAGATCTCCGGCGGCGCCGCTTCCTGCGGTACCCCCGCGGCACCGGCACCCCGATGTAGATGGAGTGGTAATCTGGGGAGGGGGGAGAGCTTCAAAAGCAGGTCTGGGATGGCTTAAAACAACAGCAAAACACCACCACCACCAAATTACTTTCTAGTTAAAGCTTCCAATTTAAAAACTCCCAGTTAAAAAAGCCGGGGAGATGTTTCCCAGCTTCCCATCAGGAACTAAAGCACAGAAGAGTTTATTCCATGGGCTTTCTAGTTAAAGCTTCCAATTTAAAAACTCCCGGTTCAAAAAGCCGGGGAGATGTTTCCCAGCTTCCCAGCAGGACTAAAGCACATTATTTATTCCATGGGATGTGCTGGATCTAGAGAATGAAGAAAAACTTTTAAAAGCTTGCAGTTTAAAAAAATCCGGAGGGGGGGGGAACAGAACTAGGATTTCTCATTTCCAGTTACAAAAAAAGAAAAGTTCACTTTCCAGTTAAAAAACTTCCAGTTTACAAAGCCAGGGAGATGTTTCCCATCTTCCCACCGGCCTTAAAGCACACAGGAGTTTTATTCCATGTTGTGCATGGGATGTGCCAGATGTAGAGAGGGGGAAAAGCTTGAAAAAGCAGGTCTGGAATGTTTCACTTCCAGGTAAAAAAGAAAAGTTCACTTTCCAGTTAAAAAAAAGTTCTCTTTCCAATTAAAAAAATTCCAGTTTAAAAAGCCAGGGAGGTGTTTCCCATCTTCCCACCAGGATGAAAGCACACAGTTCATTCCATGGGATGTGCTAGAGAATGAAGAAAAACTTTGAAAGCTTCCAGTTTAAAAAAAAAGTTCACTCTCCAGTTAAAAAAATGTTCATTTTCCAGTTAAAAACTTCCATTATAAAAAGCCAGGGAGATGATTCCCAGGATTAAAGCACCCAGGCTTTAATGCACACATGTTGTGCACGGGATGTGCTGGATTGAGAGCACATATGGGAAAAAAAAAACAACAGATCTGGGATTTCTCACTTCCCATTAAAAAAGAAAAGTTCACTTTCTAGTTAAAACTTCCAGTTAAAAAACTTCCAGTTAAAAAAGCCAGGGAGATGTTTCCCATCTTCCCAGCAGGCTTAGGGCACACAGGAGTTTATTCCATGGGATGTGCTGGATCTAGAGAGGGGAAAAGGTTTTAAAAGCAGACCTGGGATTTCTCATTTCCAGTTTAAAAAAAGGAAAAAGTTCACTTTCCAGTTAAAAAAACCCAGGGAGATGTTTCCCATCCTCCCACCAGGCCTAAAGTTTATTCCATGGGATGATCCAGAGGGATCTAGGGAAGGGGAAAAGTTTTAAAAAACAGATCTGGGATGTCTCACTTCCAGTTACAAAAAAAGTTCACTTTCCAGTTAAAAGTTCCAGTTCAAAAGGTCAGGGAGGTGTTTCCCATCTTCCCACCAGGCTTAAGGCACTCAGGAGTTTATTCCATGGGATGTACCGGTGGAGCATCGGGAGATCCGATGGATCAGGGAAGCCCCTGCTGCCTTTGGGGGCATTCCCGAGGTTTCACTCACCTTCCTCATCCTCGTATCTCCTCCTGGAGCTGCTGAGCCCCCTCTCGCTCATCCCATCCTCATCCTCCAGCATGTTCCCGCTGCTCCGGGAGAGCTGAGCCCGGCAAGGAGAAAGGAGAGAGGTTTTTCAGGGATGTTGGGCAGGGAAGAGCCTCTTTGCACACCTGGCAGGTGCTCCCCACTCCGGGAATCCACGTGTGGAATCACAGGATCCTTCCCGGCCGGGAGAGCCGGGACTTCCCTGTGGAAGCACAGGGGACCCTCTGGAATGTCCTCCCTGGGTGAGCTCAGCCCTGCCTGTGCCAGTCCTGCCCGTGCCAGCCCTGCCTGTGCTCCACCTCCACTCTCCCCATGGTTAAGAAAACCGGGATAAATTTTGTCTCCAGGCTCCAATTTCTGCTGCTCGAAGCAGAGGGGGAGTGAAGTGCAAGGAATTTTTATGGAGATTTGCTGCCACAATTATGGACACGAGCTCAGTTCACAGGGGTTATTTGCTGGCAATAAACACCCATTTAATTTTTTTGGGGTGGGACCTGCCCAGATAAAAGGGATTTTTCACAGCTAAAAGGGGTTTTGCAGACGCAGACTTTGCTTCCTCATCTCCTGAGCACAGATTTTACACCCTACACTTCCAGATCCCTTCCTTCCGACCTGCCGCTTTATCCCCCCAGGAGTTCCTTCGCATTTTGTCCCGGCTGTTAATTACTCCCCTAATTATCTGACCTCCAGTGATTGCCTTTCACACTTGACTGGGGCGGCAGAACGGTTACTATTCCTGGCAGCCCGGTCGATGCCTCCCAAAGTCACTTTGAGAGTGATCAGAACCAGCCTCTCCGTGTCCCCCGTTCCAGCTCCTGGAATCCATGGCAAAATCGCACCATTATCCATCTATTTCAGGGAAAAAAAACCCCAACTCAAGCCAAAGAGGTTCAAAATATCAAGCAAACAGGGTGTGCACCTAAAAAGCTGGGAGGACCCCGGGGTGCCCAGGTTGGCTCTGCTTTGGTTCCTGATTTATCGACTCGTTTTCCCCCAGGCAAAGACCATCTTTATCCCAATAAACGTTCCAGCCTTAACACAGTTGATATTTAAAGGCACCTCTTCATTTAAAAGATTTGTTGTTTTTTTTTTCCTGACACTTTTTTTAAGGAACCAGTTTATTTTAGGGACAAACTCCTCTGGATGGGCAACTGTGCCCCAAATCTGGGTGTATCAACAGCAGCCACGAGCCTTGGCTTCCTGAAAATAACATTACTGGGATAATTTTGAAGGTTTTAGGAAGCTGGTGGTGGCAGGAAAAGCAGCTTCAGGCAGAAATAGTTTTGCTCCAAAAATGACTTTCCAAGAGATGAAGTTTCACAACCCCCCAAGATTCCTTCAGTGGCAGGTTGGGGATGATGGATGGGGCTAAAGGACCCTCCAAATGGGATAATATTGGAATGAAATAGGACTTTTTTTGCAGTCTACTTTGGCTGGTCAGAGTTTTACCACATCTCTGCTGGGCAGCACAAATAACCCACTGGATAAACCCTTTGATAAATCCACTGAGAAATGAAATATCCTGGTTAATTATGGTTGATTTAGGAGAGTAATAAAACCATTTTTTTTCCCTCTTATATTTTACACATAAATCTTCCCCCCCCAACTCCCTACATCCAAACACAAGCATAACATGGAATAGAACTTTTGGAAAACCTGACTCTAAGTGGAGCAGAAACAAGAGGAGGGAAAGAAAAGCGCCGTCACCTCTCCCAGTTAAACCCAGTTCTACCCCCCCCCAGCTCCCAGTTCCACAAAAACAAGTTTCACCCTTAAGAAACTCACCTTGAGCTCTCAAAGGAGATGTTCAGAGGGAGGATGGGGCTGCAGAGGAAAGTCAGGGCTGTTGGTGGGAGTGGGAGCCCAGATTGCCTTGGGATGGAGCTGCTCTTCCCACCATCCTATCGACGCCCAACTGGAAACGCTGCGCAGCTCCCGGCTCAAAATGTATTTTGGGCAACACTGATCGACTTTTGGGAGCAGAGAAGCATCATGGGATGCAAAGAGACCTCGGGAGAGGATGGAACATCAAACCAGCAGAGGTCCTGCCCTGCACAGGGCTGGACTTGGGCTGTCACACCACCGGGACGTGGAAAATCCAGGCTGTCCCTCCCCAGCCTGCAGGATTTGTGTCTTCTGGGGCTGTTGGGGGCTTTTTGTTCATCAATTTTGGCTCAGTTCTGAGGGATTTTGGAAGGGAACAGCTTTTATGTCTTTTCTCTGTGCAATTTCATGATTTTAAGGAGGAAATGGCTCAGGGAAACGCAGAGGAGCATCACCATCACCGGGATGCTCCTAAAACCCCTGGGAACAACAGCAGCAGCCCCTGGGGCATCCAACACAGTTTGGGGAGAGTTTATCACATGGAATTCTTTTGCAATTCCACGTCTCCCTTTCAATGTGCTGATCATGTGTAAATTCAGTGCCACGAAGAGCAAACTCTGGGCCACAGGAGTGCTCCCAGCTCAGCTCCCTGAGCTCTGCTCCCATTCCACGCTTGGATTCCTCGCCTCCCTTCGGCCTTTTACCAGGGATGTCAATAAATCCACATCAAACAGCTCCCAGCTCCTCAGCAGAGCTGGGCTCGTTGTCAGGCAAGAAAAAAGGACTGGGAAAATCAGATTTTGAGCTTGAAATCATCTGAGCTCGGGCCTTCTCTCTCACCTCCGGGGGTTATTCCATGGCACGATCCAGAGTCTTGGAAAAATCAAAGCAAAACCTGTTTGGTGCTTTATTCCTCCTCCTGTTTTCTTTCCCAGCTCCTGTTTTGTTTGATTTGCTCTTCCATGTGGAGCAGGGTCAGGCCTAGAGCAAGGCCAGGTCTGGAGAAAGGTCAGGTCTGGGGCACGGTTGGGTCTGGACCAAGGTCAGGCCTGGTACAGGGACAGCTCTGGAGCAAGGTCAGGTCTGGGGTAAGATGAGGTGTGGAGTAAGGACAGGGTTAGAGCAAGGCCTGGGCTAGAACATGGGCAGGTCTGGAGAAAGGCCAGGTCTGGGGCAGGGTCAGGTCTGCAGAAAGGTTGGGTCTGGGGCAAGGACAAGTCTGGAGCAAGTTTAGGTCTGGAGTAAGGACAGGTCTGGAGCAGGGTCAGGTCTAGGACCAAGGTCCAGTCTGGAGCAAGGACAGGTTTAGAGCAAGGACTGGTCTAGACCAAGGCCAGGTCTGGAGCAGGGACAGGTTTGGAGCAAGGACAGGTTTGGAGCAAGGTCAGGTCTAGGATCAAGGCCAGGTCTGAACCAAGGTCAAGTCTGGAGCAAGGACAGGTTTGGAGCAAGGACAGGTTTAGAGCAAGGACAGGTTTGGACCAACGTCAGGTCTGGAGCAGGGTCAGGTCTGGAGAAAGGACAGGTTTAGATCAAGGACAGGTTTGGAGCAAGGACAGGTTTGGAGTAGGGTCAGGTCTAGGACCAAGGCCAGGTCTGGATCAAGGTCAGGTCTGGAGCAAGGCCTGGTTTAGAGCAAGGCCTGGTCTGGACCAAGGCCAGGTCTGGAGCA